CCTCGCCTCTTCTTCTCCTGTTACTCCTCCTCCTCTTCCCCCTCCCCCTCCTCCTCCTTCTCCTTCTTCTTCCCTCTCTCTCTCGCAATGAAAAAGCTGAGGCTCAGAGAGATTAAGCAATTTGCCATGGTTACATAATTTGTAAGCATGTTATATGCCAGCAGGAAGAACTCAGTGACAATGGAGAGACTGAAAATATAAAAGAGAGGTGATTTTAACTTGATTCTTTTTGTGAGTGTGGACTCAGCAAGATAAGACACATAAAATGGAAATCTGAAGTTCCAGCCAGGCCCATGTGCTCGAAATTTGACAGTGTATAAGAGAGACTACAATGATGTGGTCTGATCATGTAATAGCTAATCTTTGTTGAGCACTTACTGTGGGCCAAGCACAGAGTTAAGCACTTTACCTAGACGATCTCATTTAATTCTCACAACAATCCTATGAGGTAGGTTCTGTTATTGCCTTCATTTAACAGATGTGAAAATTGAATCACAGAAGGGTTCAATGATTCGCTCAAGGCCACACAGTTATTGTGTGCTAGATCTTTCAGAGACTTCAAATGAGCCTTTAGAGGAGGAATCTGAGGCTGAGGGAGGTGAAGTCATTTGTCCAGGGACCCCTATCTAGTGAGTGTTGGACTTGTAATGCAAACCCAGGCTCTGTCTGGTACCAAAGCCATGCTCTTAATCACCACACTATCATGAATGGAAGCTATTAAAATAGAGAATATGTGCATATTTTTTCTAGATCCAGCTCTGTAAGGCAAAACATTCCCTGAACTTGAACGATAGTAAGAATTGCCCATATTTCAGGGAGTTGATGGTGACAGCATATACTTCCTTGGCAATGCACCACACAGTATAATGCAGCCAGGGCAGTTGTAGAAAGCCTCATGGTGAAAGCAGACTGAGAAAACAGAGCTACTCAGGCGGGGCGACAATAGCTGAGTTCTCATGTGGCTTTTTCAGGTGGCTGCATGACAGCAGCCATACTTTGTTCTTTCATGGAGACAATGCTCTGTGAACAAGAAAGACCCTGGCTCAGATGTCCTTCCTCCTTCAGGTCTAAGATCTGCTAACAAGCTGTTCTGATGCCACCAGTCCAAGCTTGTAGTCTGTGAAAATTATCCTAGGTGTGAGGTATAATGGAGCATGGAGTGTGAGGCTGGGAAGAACAGCCTAATTGCTATCCCTTCGGGGATGACTGGCTCTCCAGTGGGAACAGCATGTGGAGCAGAGAAAGGCACATTGTTGTACTGCCCAAATCCTTGCTACTGTGCTCAATTGTCACTGCTAGAGTTTTCATTTGGTGATTGGTTTTTGAGAGATGGCTTGATACTAGTCTTCATATTTGGAATATCATTAATGTTTAATCAGATCATTATCATTCTTTATTCAACAATGCGATTTACCAGGTTTTGATATCTTCTTAACTTTGATTCTGTTATAACCGAGGACTAGCTTGTGTGTTTGTGTGTGCATGCACATTATGTGTGTGAGCTCTATCTGATTTTATAAGTTCCCTTCCAGGTCTATTTTTCTGTGATCAATAGATTAATGGAAAGAAAATGAATAGAAATGTAGTATATAATAAACCATGTGAGAAGTCATACTTTCATTCTACATATACGTACCGAGCATTGCTATGTATCCGAAGCTGTGTGGACTAAACAGTTGTGTAAGATGCAGTTCCTGCCCTCAGGGAGCTTATTCTACATTTCTTCCATTCAGCAAGTGACAACACTACCTGGGTTCCTAATCCCTTGGTGGTTCCCATGCTTGGCTCTTTTGTCTTTCATCAGCAGCGCAGCCTAGGAAGATCTTTAATCCCAACATAGTGAATTTGAAATTTAAGATTTTGACAGCCAGAAATGATAAGATAATAACAATAATTACAACATTGATAATAGTAAATTGAGAATGGAGAGAAGCAAGTGGGGACACATATAAAGATTCCCAGGAGGTAGTATGTTCTGGACAAAGCTGAGATATTTGCATGGCTTAGTGAAAAGGGAAAAAAGCTCAAGGGTCAATTTAACATTTTAACTAGAAGAGTATCAGTTCTTTGGTGATAGGTGGGGAAAAAAGGCTTATGGGAGAAAGTAAAAGGAATAAATTGTGTTCACTACTTTTGTTCCACAAAGAAATCTCTTTTTGATTTGACTGTGAATTCTGGGAGAGCAAGAGGCCCTGCTAGTAGATTGAGGGGAAAGAGGAAGACAAATCACTGGTTTTCCAAAGAGCAGAGCAAACTGAAGGGAGATGGAAGTGCTGATAGCCTTAAAGACAACTGAATAAATAAAGCCCTTTCTCCGTAAAAATATATGTGTAAAATATTTAACTGACATTAAATATTAACAATGAATTAACGAAAACACTTGACACACTTTATTAATGTAGGAAGAGGAAGTTTTTTCCCCTTTAGAAAATATACTGTTTTAAAACTCAAAATCACTTCATATGTGATCCAGGCAGAAAGTAGTGTGGGTCTCTGGAGGAGTGAGGACTATAAGAATGAAGGTAAATGGAAGTGACCTCCAAGTGAGTCTCTTACATCATCTCCTGCCAACTCACTGTGGTGAGAAGGATCCAAGTTCAAGAATTTTATGATTGAATGGATTGCTATGTGTCACATGCTTCCAGTGGGACCCAGCACCGCCCCCCACATGTGTGGGAAGGGTGAGGAAAATGAAATCCATTTGCACCTGATTCTGATACCATGTGTCTCCCTTCTCCACGTGGGGGCTCTGATGGAGAGGCATAGTACCTTCCACCTGGCATTGCCTCTGAGTAGCTTTTTGAACTCCTTTGGGCTATTATGTTGGTTGGTACTTTGCCTTCTTTGGCTCCCAGCACCAGCTGATGCCCTGAGCTGAGTCCCAGTTGGGCAGGCTCTATTGCTCAGTGCTAGCTGTCTCCAGGGCATTGTTCTTGAGACTTCCAACAGGGCAGATTTGTGCAGTTGGCCCATCTGGACAAGATCTATAACAAGTAGAGCTCTGTGCAATAAGCTCATCTCCATAGTGCACCCCCCGCTACCCCCGCCTTCGGGCTGCAGCAGCCTGACACCCCAGCCCTGCCATGGAGAGTATCAAAGAGATACTCTCTGCTCCTTTCAAAAGGATATTGCTGTGGCTTCTCATTGATTGGCACTACCTGGGCAGAAATGGGAACACAGGGACTCTCTGCCCTCTCAATTCAATCTCCTCCCTTAAGCCAGTCCTTTAGTTTTGACTCTCCTTGGCACCAGAGTCATAGTTAATATCGTCAATGAGATTAATTTCTGGTCCAGTGACCCTGGTCAGCCCAGAATAATGCTCTCCTCAAAGCCAAGAGAAAGACAAGAGGAGTATCTCAGTGAACAGGAAAGAGCAGACAAGCTCAATAGAAAAAACGGGGAAAGAAAGCTGAGCTCTTGGTTTGACTATAGGATTTGCTTTGGTCATTGGATTTATTGACTTTCAATTTGGAACACCATTTTGATGAAAGGAGGAAGGGAGGAAGAGAGGGAGGGAGAGCACAAGAGAGAGTGAGAGAGAGAGAGAGACAGAGAGAGAGATTGGACTCACATAGTTAATTATTGTAGGTCCAGAGAAAAGGACAAGATGTTTAAGAAATCATTTGATCACCTCTGTCTTCCAGCTGTTAGCCCCACATTTTAATCTTCCCTTTTTCAATTCCTCATAGTTGGGTCATTTCAAAGGACTCAGTGTACCAGGCCCATGCTTCCCCATGTCCCAGTGGTATGTCAGGCCTGAAATGGGCTCTCCCACACCCTCTCTATTCTGACATTTCTGGTAGCTTCCACTGACTGCTCCCCCTCCTCACTGTGGAAGGAGAAGGGAAGCAAGAGAATGGTTAAGAAAGGACTCCAACTCATGGCTCTCTACTTTCTACAACTACTACCCTAAGGTCAGCCAAGTCAATGTTTGTCCAGGATAGGGGTCCTCTATATGTCTGGTTCCTCCCCGGGAACCTCAAAGCCCATCTTATCCTGGACAAGGTTGCATGGCACTATTATTTGCTCACTAAAAGAAGGTGAAGGAGCAAGTTGGAAATGAGGAGTTCTGGGAAACAAAGAGACTTCTTTGGAGAAAGAGAAGAAACAAATGAAAGCCAAGCCAACAAAAATCTCTCTGAGGATAGTTTCTGTATCCTATTCCTCCTGGGTCCTACTACCTTGGATCTTACTTTTCTTGAAAGTTTTCTAGCATCATTGAGTAAGTTTCTTAAAAAGTAAGCATTTTGCTCTTTTTATACTCCCCAGCAGCCAAACACCCCCTGACACCATGCTAGTTAGTTAGAGAATAAAACAAATATTTCTGAGACCAGGAAGTTCAGGTGGATCTGGAAGGGTGGGCTTTCTGAGAGTCCAAGATTCCTGACCCCATTCTGACAGTGTTGAGCATCCTAGGAGACTTAAAGATCTCTGTTGGGTCGTATAGAAATGCCCTATCCCAGTGCAGCTCATGACTGTTCCAACCTCCCTGAGAAGTAGGGAACCTGTCACTTTGCCTTCCTCCCATAGTCAAGGAAAGCTGACTGGGTCACCCAGGACAGCACTTGTGGGCGGGAGAGACACTATTTGAGCCTGCAGTAGGAGGGACAGAGGGCACAGTAAAGGCCAGGCTCTAGGTGGAGGTGTCAGGGTGAAGAGTGGTGCAGATTAAGATGACAAATGCCAGAATCTACTAGCAGCAGTCTGAATATTCTCCACTGGAGAGTTGGAAAACAGAGAGGCTCCAGCAAGGGAAGAAGGTCATCTTGGCCCCAGCGCCATAGCCAAACCTTACTCTCACGAGAAATGGGATAGCATGGAGAAGAGCTGGATTAGAGTAGATAAGCCATCTTTCTAAGTACAGCTGCTATTGGCACCATGCAGTGTAGGCCCCCATAGCTTTGGGATTGGCCATTGAAGTTATGAGTGGGAGATCAGGAAGGAACTGTTCAAACCCCTGATGGAATCTAGTGGAGGGGGAAAGCCCACCCAAAAGGAAGGAAGCCAACAGCTGGACTCTCTAGCCTCCACCCTATTCACAGTGCCTGGTGGATGTCTTCTGACCATAGCACTTTATAGACAACCCAGTAAAAGATGTTGAAGATGAGGAAAGTGAAAGGGAAGACAGCCCGGGAGATGGTGTCAATCCTCTTGGCTTGGTCCACGTAGAGTTTCTGCATGGTTTCTCCCTCCCTTAGAAGAGGGGCTGGAGGTTGGGGGCTATAAATGCCAGACCCTTCCATTGGACCTCCATCCCTTGCCTGCAGGCAGTGACCCAGGCCATAGCCACGGAAATAGACACGACTTTCTTGGATGATATCTTCCTCCTAGAATTATGTGGAAGAAAAGGCAGAATTTGAGGTCACAGCTCTAAGGCAGAGGGTTAGCGACCAGGTCACACACAAATATCTCATAGCTGATGCTATGCAGACGGGGTGGTTGGGTACACAGGCCCATTGCATGCTTTTTTATGGCCAGAAAACTACTCATGAGGTCGATGTATGCTAAGCAGCTATACATGGTACATATGGTATATATGATTCCAATTGCAGATAAGCCCCAACCTGCCTTTTTAAAATGCAGAGCATCATTTAGAGCCATCTAAAAACCAGTGAAGTGCCAACCCACTGTGACAGGGACATCTCAAAGTCAAGTTATTTCTGACTGGTAATAAACAGAATAAGCAGAACAATGAAACCTTTAGAAAGCACAGCTGAGATATTTAGACTTGGTCAACTTGACTTTAATGACTTTCAAAAGCTGCAGAATTAATTCTCCTTGTACATAGTATCTTTTTAACAATTGTTTATCTCGACTCAAAGCTGAAAGTTCCAAAAGTTTTTTTTTTTTTTTGTGAGGAAGATCAGCCCTGAGCTAACATCTATTGCCAATCCTCCTCCCTTTTTCCCCAAAGCCCCAGTAGATAGTTGTATGTCACAGTTGCACATCCTTCCAGTTGCTGTATGTGGGACGCTGCCCCAGCATGGCCGGAGAAGCGGCGCGTCAGTGCGCGCCCGGGATCCGAACCCAGGCCGCCAGTAGCGGAGCGCGCATTTAACCACTAAGCCATGGGGCCGGCCCCCAAAAGTTTTAAGTAACCTAGTGTGTTATCCAAATTAGGGTAAAGCTGATTACTCTGTTGCAGATACATGTGCTTCTCTGCCAATCAGCAGATTTTGATATAGGGGTCAGTACATCTAGGGTAATATTTATTACCCAATACACATTCCATTCATGGACAATATATGCATTATGATGAACACATTAACACTGAGGAGGTAAATTTTATATAAGCACTAAGTAATGTAGCAGACTACACAAAGTTCATTTATCCAATAGTCAGGTGAAAACCCTAAGTAGCTATAACACAGCCTAGAGGCATAAGAGCCCACCAGGCATCCACTCAGAGCCTATTTACTCCTAGTTTATACACAACACAAACACGCCTAGTTTTGTCTGTTTTTAAAGGACACACTGCCATCAGAAGTGATGGTTCACAGCCTGGACTTTTAGACAGAGGAAGGTAAGTGTATACCAGAACCTAGAAATACTTCCTTCAAAGATGGTTACAATTTTTTAAAGTACTGATGTTTACAGGAGTAAAAGCCTCAGCTATCTAAGAAATCACCTGAAGTGAAATACCCCCTGGGGGATGATGTCAACTACCATCTCAGTTTGCCCAGGACTGAGGGCTTCCTGAGAGTTGGGACCTCAGTGCTAAAACTGGGGAACTCGAAGGCAAACTAGGAAGAGTTAGTCACCCTACAGCTACCTGAGGCATTTACTATAAAATATAAGAATAAGGTACATGTACATTGAATGGATGTGACATAGATAGACGTAAAATGTGGATAAAGTAGATTTTTACACCCACTGTGCAGTTAGAAAGATATCATAGGGTTTTTATAATGGGAACGCTGCAGCTATGGTAATGCATTGAAAAGTGGCTTCATAGATGAGACGTTGGTGTGGTGGGACCCAGTAACCCTGGATCATTGCATTACTAGAAGGCCTGGCCTGTCACTGGACATCAGGGGCAGGCAAGCTCAGGCCAGAGATTCACCAACACATCCTATCTCTTTCTCTGCTTTCTGTGGGCTCATAGTACAAACTTTGGAAAGAGTATCAGTCTTGTTCACTGCGGTATCCCCAGTGCCTAGCATATCGCCTGGCATCTAGTAGGCACTTAGTAGATATCAGTTAAATGAATGAATGGACTGATGAGCCACATGCTTCAGAATATAGGACAGGGAATGGCTTTGTTCTCATGAAGCCAGCATCCTCTCAGGGTCTCAAACTGAAGAGTCTACTCACTAGAGAATCTTCCTCAGTTACAAAGTGCTTGGCAGGAAAAAGGGTTACTCTTTGTCCCACTCCCGCACAATGGCGTGATGCCCTTCAGCCTCTAGAAAAAGCGGCACCTTTGGTACAGGAAAAAATCTCTCTAAGTCTGCCCACCAGGGAGCTTTGCTACATAATTCTTGATTTTGGCAGTCTCTGTAGAAAGAGTTGTACATGTGTAGGCCAGAGGCAATTCACTACTGTGGTTGTGCTTTGCCCCTGAGTTGCTGCAGTGGGGCAGCCTTAGCTCTCTGCTCAAAGTTATTTACATAGCTTCAGTCATCAAAGGCCTTGGCTCACCTCACCTGTATTCTCTAATCCATTTTCACACCATTCCTACAAGGGAGGTTGTGCTGGACCCATTTTAGAGATGAAGAACCAGAGGCAAACAAAATATCTCCCAAGTAATCGAAAAATGAGGGGGTAAATGAAATGATTTTCTCTTTTGCTTTCCAGTTCAAGGTCCCTCAGACCCACTGTTCCCCACTGCTCATCCTGATCCCCTCAGCCCCCCAGCTATAGGATACGAGCCTGGAATATATTTGTTTTCAAAAAGCTTTGAAAGAGAAAGGTGAATCCAACTGCTGTTTCTGTTTCTATAGATCCAGTTATTTCCATTTTCAATAAGTAAATCTACAGGGAATTATTCGAAAATATTTCCCAGGCTGAAGAAGCTATTTCATACGAGATAGAAAATATAGCCAATAGAGTAAGCTTCCCTTGGCTCTTTTTGATTTTAATATATTGTACCACTTGTAGTTGGGAGACCAAAGATGAATGGTCTATAATCCAAGGATGAGGGTCCTGGATTTGGGTATTATCTATTTAAGTCAAATTCTAAGGGGGGTGTGTATTTGTGTGTTGAAGAGGGACAATGGAGACTTAAACACCACTTTGTGGCTTCCATGGCTGTTGAAATAGAACATTTTTGTTGCAGCCATCTATGGGGAGGAGGGCTGGGGAGTAAGAGAGGGAAGATATTCCAAAACAAAGCTGGAGAGGGAATGCAGAGTGTGGGAGGTGAGGTGTGGAGATGGGAAAGAGTGATAGGTATTGAGTGATATGTATTGAAGCAAAGAGAAGAGAAAAGAAGAGATTGGAGAATAGGGGAGGATACTGGGGGATGGAGAGAGAGCATGCAGGGTTCAGGGGCCAAGCACCTGAGAGGACTTGGCAGTATTTTGAAATTTCTTCCATTTCTCAAGTTATTCTATTAATGATGGCAAGTCTTCTTCTCCGTCCAGCTTGAAAGAGAGCCCTCACCAGTCAGCCTGCAAAGGTTGGTGGACTGGGTTACATGGCTGCTGTGTCCAGAGCCTGGTGCTAGGGCCTGTTGAGGCTATGAAAAAGAGAGATAGACTCTTCCTTGTGAAGCTTATACACTAGCTGGGAAGACAAAGTGGAAAGGTGTGGAAAAAAATTAAACTACTTTGGGGCCGGCCCTGTGGCCTAGTGGTTAAGTTCGTGCGCTCTGTTTTGGCAGCCTGGGTTCTTGGGTTTGGATCCTGGGTGCGGACCCACACCACTCATCAGCCATGCTGTGGCAGTGACCCACATACAAAATAGAGGAAGCCTGGCAAAGATGTTAGCTCAGGACTAATCTTCCTCAGCAAAAAATAAATAAATAAATAAATAAATAATTAAACGACTTTAGATAGTGACGTGGAAGGAGACCACCCTGCAGTGGAGATAGGTGGTTGAAGAGAGATTAGAGAAGAACAGGATTAAGCTTGGAGCTGGGTGAACAGCTGGCTGGCTCCTAGGATACTCCTAACTTGCCCTTGGCTAAGGGGTCCCTGAAAATCATACGGATTCTCTCCCTTTCCTCAAGAGGGCTACTCTCAGACTGAAGACTTCTGCTTCTCTAGCTGGAAGAGCAGGGCCCAGACAGAGTTTCTAGAAATGGATTAACTCTGCATCAACTTTTCCAGTCTGCTTGGTGACCTCCAGGAGTCCCACTACAGTTCTACTGAGATGGCAATGGCTTTAGGAAACTTGAAAAGGGACATGACTAATGGCATAGGTTTTAATTTTCAGGTTTTATTTACGTTAATAATAAGCCTAACCCACTTTCAGGCAGGATCCAGCAGCCTAAGCAGGGAGGGCCCAGGCTGCTGTTATAACTTTGTAACAATTGAGCACTGGTTATGACAGACTCCATTATGAGATCAGGATCAACCTACATATGACCAGGAGGCGTTAGGCTGTGGGTAGTTGGGGGTTGGAGAGGTGCAGGGAAAGAGGTGGGACTAGTGTCAACCTGGAGTAGCTCTACAGAAACTGCGGCAGTCGTCTCTTGCTGGGACACCCACACAGGCGATTTAGCTGGCAAAAGAACGCAAACTGGTTGGCAGCTTGCTCTTCTTTCCAAGGTAGGCATTGGGAAGGCATCAAGATCAAAACCCCCATGAAGATAAGATTTTGGTAGCTGCAGGCAGGTTTGACACAGCTAAAGAGAGGGTGGAGACAGTTAGCTTAGAAAAGCATACATCCTCTTTTCTTGCCCTTCTGCCAAGTCTGTATATTTTTTCTAATCTTCAGTCAGCCTGGGATAGGAAAGGCTTTTAGGTCTCTTGAAGAATGGGTCTTACTCAAGGAGATGCTGTTGTGGATCAGTCCACTAGAGGGCGGTTTTCCCAGGGCCCATCTAAAGGACTAAAGCTGGGCAAGAATTGATAAATTCTGACAAACCACTAGACAAGACAGAAGCCCTGCCCTCAGCAGAAAGGGACCTTAGGAAGGGACATGAAATCTCAAAGGTAGTTTGTGAATTATTTTTAGTGCGGATATATGGTAGAGATACCCCAGGAGCAGCTGAGGTGGGAGGTGGGGTGTTAAGAGGAGAGAAGAGCCTTAGAGCTAGAGTGGCCGATAGGCTAGAGCCAGTGGGCTCAGATCATTGTTTCCTCTCCCTGCAGAGGTCATATGTACTTGCCCCTTTGGCTTTAGAGCCTTCAGATTAGGCAGAAAACAAGAAGTCAGAGCTTAAGATAGACCAGAACTCTGTGTCTGATGATTAAGCGACCAGTGTGTAGCTCAGAATAGGCTTTCAGCTTTGCTCATAACTGGGCACTTGCTTCTGTGAGAGTGGCCCAGACACCTCTCTTGTCATGACAATGTACCTAGCACCTGTTGTCTGGGCAAGCGAGGGTAAACTGCGTCTGTTGTCATGATGACAAGATCTCTACTGTATTTCCCCAGGTTATCATTCTACTGTAGAAGAAATGGGGTTAGTGAACAAGAGTGAGGGAGAACAACAGCTCACCCCCAACAACTCTGATGTGCCTAATGAAGATCAAAGAGAAGAAATCCAACAGCCAGAAGAGGCAAGTAATGGTTTTTCAATTCCAGCTTAGCTACGGGGACCCTTTTATAATGCTCCCCTAGAAAGGCACCAATGCCTGACCCTTTAATTCTTAACCACCAATCAGTGTATGACGACCCGGGGTACCCTCCTCCTGGGTGGGGGGAGAGCCAGGAGCAACAATTATTAATTCTCAAAGCAATCTCACATTGACTAACTTGATATGGTTCTAATACTTGCTAACATTTTCTCAGTGCTTACTATGTGCCAGGCACTGTGCCCATGCTCTTAATCACTCTACTAGACTGCCCTACAGGGATTAATGTCCCATTGGACAGATAAAGAAATGGGATCAAAGAGGTTAAAGTACTTAGTTTATCTGTGACCAGCCTGGGACTAGAATCCAGGGTTCCTGATTTCTTGGCTAGTCCTCGCAGCCCTTGCTAGCCCTGGCAGCCCAAGGTCGGGGCTTGGTTTGTGGGAGGAGTAGTAAGGAGGAAGGAGTCCAAAGGAGACAGGAAGTGGGCCCCTCCCTAGTTATACTCACCATGCGTTGGCGCCTCTGCCTTCTTCGAAGTCGAATGAATTCCTTATGCTGACGGGAGACAAAATTGACAGCAGCGTACTCCAGCAGGGCAGCGAATACAAAGAGCAGGCACACCGCCATCCAGATGTCAATTGCCTTCACGTAGGACACCTGCAACAGCCACCAACAGCGTAATCAACCTTCTTGGAGTCCTTCCGTGGCCTTTCCAGTGGGTTGCCAGCCCATATCAACTGCCTGCTATTCTTCAGTTTTATCCTGAATTTTTTCTGGTTTTTAAAGAAGCTTTCCACGATATGTCCCATTGTCTGAAGGCCCATGTCAAAGAGATCGGGCTACCCATCATCCTTCACCTCTCTGCACTCTCTACCCTCTACTTCCATCTCCCTGTCCTCCCTATACTTCTTTTCCTGTCTTCCTTTATTCTTTTTGTGCTTCTGCTTCTGCTTCTTATCATTCTTTTCATTCTTGTCTTCTTCTGATTCTTTTCTTTCAATAAACAGCAACGAACATGAACGCCGCATTTGTTTGCCCTCTCTTATCTCCTAGGGTCATCATAGCCATGGGGGTAATTGGGCAGGGTTCGGTAGTCCCATGTGAGACACATGAGGACACTTCAAGCCTAGAGAGGAAAAGTCTTAGCCAAGATTACCCAGTGAGAAGGTGGCACTAGAACTTGGGGGTTCTGGGCTTTCTATTCAGTGGCACTGCCGTTTGCCTAGGCTACAGTCTCAATATCAGACTAGGAGTTCCTTCCTTTCCCTCCTCCACCCCTATTCTTCCCTTGACCCTGTGGTTTTTCCTGCTGCTCCTCGTGAGAGGTTCTGCTGAGGAATTGAGCACAGTGGTGAGCTGAGGCCTCATCTCTCACACTGGAGAGTGGAACAGGGCAGGGATCCCAAAGGAGCGCCACCCACCCTCAGCTATGGACACTTTTCTAATTTAAAGGTACTGTTGGCATCCGCCTGTCCAGTCCCTAGTTCTGTCCTCTCACTACCTGCCTTAGCAGCCTTTAACTATTTTTCTCTCCCATTTCCCTTGTGAAGTTTGAACACTCACCTCTCCTGGAACAGGTTTGCAGTTGGGTGGGGCCAGGAGGAGGGGGCCAGAACTCAAGTTTATGAAGTCATTTCACCTCCTCAATCAGATCGACTCCCTACATAGTTTTGAGCTGCTGAGCTCACTCTGTGGGGCTCCCCAGCAGGAGCAGAACTCATGACAAACAACCTCTTTCACCAGCCTCTGCTATGTTGGACAGTGAGACTGCTGCGGACTCCAGGTAAGGAGCAGGTCTCACTGGATAAACCTTCCACCTCAGTGGTTCTTCACCTGGGATGACTCTTCCGCCCCCTACCAGGAGCATTTGGCAATGTTTGGAGATGTTTTTGGTTGCACAGTTTTGGGGTTATGGTAGCTATTGACATCTAGTGGGTAGAGGCCAGGGATGCTGCTAAACATCCTACAATGCACGGGACACCTTCCCCCCACTCCCAGACACAACAAGGAATTATTCAGCCCCAAATGGCAATAGTACTAAGGTTGAGAAAGGCATCCTTTGATATTTCCACTTTGCCACATACTAAGAGGGCATCCTATTTCATTCACCATCTCCCAGTCCTATTGTGTCCCCAGGGATGTCGTCGAGTCTGCTATGAAGATCAATAATGAGGTAATGACAAGAGAGGTCCATGAAAGGCTTTGGACCATCAAAAGAAAAAGACAACTTAAGCAGCAGGAGAAAAGCCTTGTTAATGATGAGTGTGTCAATAATACATCTTAAATATCTCTGGAATCCATCCGCTCACTCTCCTAGCTCATCTGAAGGGACTGCAACAGTTTCCTAAATGGTCCCCTGCATCTCTGTTTGCCACTTCCAATATGTTCTCCAAACAGCAGCCAGAGTTTTGTTTTCAAAATGTAAATCTGATCATATCGCTCCCCGGCTAACAACCCTTCAGTAGCTCTCCATTACCCTTACAATACAGTCTATGCTTCCCTTAGTATGGCACTTAGTCCCTGCCTACTTCTTCAGCCTCATCTCACCCCTTGCAATCTATGACCCTGCCATGGTGAACTATTTCAGTAGGCTCCCAAGGAGATGCTTTAGCGGTGTATTTGTCTCGTCTGGTTCTATTTGCTCTTTTTGCCCTCCTTACCTGCCTCAAGAGCTGTGGGCCATTTAGATTACAGGATCTCAAGAGAATTGGGTCCCTCCTCCATGCTGCAACTTTAGGTCTAATCTGTCAGTCTCTGGTAGAAACTTCCATTTAGCTCTTCCATTCTGCACTGAGCCACCTGCAGTTGTGTAGGTCAAGAGCCTGGTAAGGAGACAGTGATTGGTGCCTTTGGGAGCCCCTGTAGAGGCAAAGGAGTGGTTTCCTGGAAGCATGGGAAATGGCCATCTCAGCTGAGTTTCTTACACAGTGAACCTCTGCTTCTCTCATCCTGGACACTAGAGTTGTATTGGGGGTGGGATTGGTGTGGCTTTCAGAAGCCCTTGACCTGGCCCCACTTCTTTCCTTAGGGCTCCTACCAGATCTAATGTTGCACAAACAAGAGTGAGCAGAAGCTCCCTGACTTACTCAGTTCCTTGTTCTGTGGTGCTGGCCAAAGAAGCTATTTAGGTCGGGGTGCATACCTACATATTTTGCTTACTGGCCAATGAGGCCATGAAAAGATCATCAAAATCTAATGAGAAGGCACCAAATACCACAAAATATCCCTCCAACAAAGTCCATTTTTTCCAAATGAGGAAACTACGTAATTCCTGGGAATAGATGGATTGTGCTTGCTCACAGGAGGGGACTGGAGAAGGAAGTTCTCTGGGCAAGAGTAAGGCATAAATTGCAGTACCACCCTGAGTTAGAGAAGAATCTCCTCGTGTGGCGGCGGCAATAAACTAGGGCAGGGTTCCTAGGTCTGAACCACTTTTCTGCCTCTACTTTTCCTACACAACCACTACCACAACATGGTCATGCCCTGTCCTGTAGCCCTTGCCTAAGCCCAGTCTGCCTCTCAGAGCCTCTTCAATATCCCCATCCACTTAGGAAACACACTTATAGGAAATGGTCCCTGACAACTTCCCCTGATCTGAGTTTTGATCTTGATCCTAATCTGAGTTTTGTCACCATTTATCCCTAGAGGGCTTTGGAGCACCTCAAAGGTTTCCCAGCAACTCAAAAGTAATTGGGAACACCACCAGCTGTTATAGCCCTAGGTCCAACACTCAGTTCTTTCCACCCAGACACCTAATAGTTATAACAATCGCTAAAATTTATTGAGTAGCTATTATGTGCCAAACACTGTTCTCTGTGTTAATACATTATCTTATTTATTTCTTGTAATAACCCTATGGAAGAGGTAATATTCTTATTCCCATGTTACAGGCAAGGAGATTGAGAGGTTAAAGAATTTACCTAAGATCACCATTAGCAAATGATGAGACTTAAACTGAAATCTGCCTGAGTCTAATCTCCTACTCTTAACCACCACACGCCCCCCCTGCCCCTATACAGCAAATTCATAAATTCCCCATGGATGCCCAGAATACCCCCTATTTAAGTCCCCAGTGAATGTCTTCTTAGGAATAAGCCCTAGGAGATGAGAGATCACAGGGCCTTGTTCCCATCAAATCAGAGCAAGAGGGAATATGTAAGATCCACAAGGAACTATGTTGTTTTTGTTTCCCATTATTTCTCCATGGCCTAGTACAGTGCCTGGTACATAGTACGTGCTCAGTAAATATTTACTGACTGATGGGCTTGCTCCCTGATTTTCTCAGAGCCTAGCTGACTGTAAGGACTTTGAGGTGACCTCTAAATTCTCTATATGAAGACACGAGGCAGGGAGAACCTGGGCCCAGTCCCATCAGCAAAAATCTCTCTGCATAATCCAAGATGATCAGAGTCCACTGACTTTAATTACTATTTGCTACCTCAAAACTTTTTCACTGCAAAAGAATGGATACTGTCTCTAGAGCTCTTTCTAATAGTATCCAATTTCTGACAAAGTAAAATATAGATGTTGGTTTAAAATCCTTCTATTTCTTTGATTGTTTCTTGTGGAGCATGACCTTGAGAAGGTCATTCTATCTCTCTGGGCTGCACTGTCCTCATCTGTACCATCAGGGAGTAGGACTTTCTACTTCCTAAGAGTCCTTTGATCTCAGACATGCTAGTATTTCCTGACGAAAGTCAACGTAGTCAGGCACTGTGTATACTTCTTCCCTAGCCAGACAGCATCCACAACCCCGGCTTCCACATTATTAGCATGTTATTAGCAGTATGTTGTGGGGGAAGAGAATGCAGGCCACCTGCTCTTGCTCAATGGCTCTTCTCTACCTTAAATCCAAGGAAAATAGTGAGCAGGAGGGAACAGGGGATGAATGGCAAATGGGGAGCTCTACGCAAGCAAGTTCCCTTGCATGTCTCTTCACCTTAGGCAAAGAGGCCCGGGAGCCAGAGCTCTGAGTTGTCATGGTGAGCACGGTGGTGATGCCTAGGCCCACACGGGCAGGGGCAGCATCCATGTTGATCCAGAAGGAGACCCAGGACAAGATGACAATGAGTAGGCTGGGGATGTACATCTGAATCAGATAGTAGCCCATCTGCCGTTCCAGGTGAAACTTTACCTCGATGCAGGTGAATTTCCCTGCAAGGAAAGAGGGAGGTATCAGGCCCCAGGTCCCCAGCCTGCAGCTGCACCTGAGGGGCAGGACTAGGGCAGCTCTGTCCCCATGGGCCAGCTTCTGGGCACCTCAGCTGGGCCAATAAATGAGCCTTTCAAAATGGCCCCAAGGAGCACCAGACGGATGTTGTGAGGAAGCTCTCAGAGCAGCCATCAAAAAGACTTGACTTTTTGCTCATGGTACTTTAGTTTCCAGCAGAAGGCCTTCCACATGACAGCACAGCAAGAGGATCAAGAGCAAGAGGGCTCCAGATCCAGACTGCCTGGGTTTGAATCTTGAACCTTCCACTTACTTACTAGCTGTGTGACCTCAAGCAAAACACCCAAGCTTTTTGGGCTTCAGTTTCCTTGCCTGTAAAACAGAGTAATAACAATATCAACTCCATCATCACTGGGCTATTGTAGGAATTAAATGAGATAATGTATTTGAAGTGTTGAGCACATAGGTAGCTGGTACTATTATCATTATTAACAAAGCAATGAGCTTAGACTGCACTCAAATCGCAGCAGCCTTGCTTGAGCTTGCTGGTACCCCAGATGCTCTCTAGTAACAACGATTCACTGAAATAAACACTGCCTGTGTCTTAAGCAAGTGAGAACAGCCAGATAGCAAACATCTGGACACAATGTCCAACAGAGACTAGCTCTGGACAGTGGGCAGCGGGTTCCCATAGAGCATCAGGCAGCCGCATTCTATTCCACCAACAAAAAGTGCGTTGGCCCCAGGCGCATGTACCAACGTTCTGCATCCTCGGCCAGCCATCTTCCCTTTACTCTGCTTCCCATGCCCCAAGGCTAAGAAAACACTAGCTCAGAGCTTCTCCCAGCAGCAGAGGCTTAGGATAACTAAAGCAAAAAGCAGAGGATGTGTATATTGTTATTTTATTCTGGCCTAAGCTTGCTCTTATCAGGCCTGTCTGATTCCTCAAGGCTAGGGATTTCATCAATGACTGATTATGGCTTTGACATGCTGTGATCTCTTACTGTTCTTTGAGACTACTCCACCTCACGCCACCCTGGCTTCTTGCCATCGCATGCCTTTGCTAGATGTCCATATTTTCTTTCCTTCCTTTTTTTTTTTTCTGTAATAGTGATTTTGTTTTTAATGACAAAGTTAACACTTGTTTAGTATAGAAAAAAAGCGAGAAGTAGAAAAGGAATAATAACATTCATAAGCCAGCATTTATCAAGCCCCTACTAAGTGCCCTGACTTTACATAGTTTATCTCATTTAAATCCCATAACAACTCTTTACAGCAGGTAAAATTATTATTTCCCATTTTACAGATATGGATACTGAGGCTTGAAGAGATTAAATTATGTTTCTCAAGGGCACTCAATTAGTAAATGGTGGAGCCAGAATTCATACTCAGCTCTATCTGACTCCAAAGTTCTTGCTCTTATCCGTTGTATCACACGACTTCAGAAACATTTGGTGTTGTTTCCTTCCAGGATTTTTAAACACATGCTTTTGATTTGTTTCTTTTACCACAATATAATCATTCTGTGTATACAACTTTGAATCTTAGCCTTTTCCACTTGTACTTTCCCATGTCGATATAAGCACCTTGCAAGCGTCCTTTTTAACGTCTGGATAACATCCCACCAAGCAGATGCGCCATGCTATTTACTTAACTTCTGCCCTACTGGTGGATATTTAGAACAGTTCCAAGTTTTTGCTAGTATAAACAGTGACCCAGAGCCCTCTTGGGATCTAAACTCAATACGATATTTTGGAATATTTCCTTATAATAAATTCCAAGGAGTGGGATTCCTGGATCAACAGGTAGGAAAAAAAAAATTAGCTTCTAGACTAAAGTTTCTCAAAGTGTGCCCCCTGGACCACCTGCATCAGAATCCTCAGGATGCTTGTTCAAATGCAGATTTCTGAGCATCACTCCAAGCATATGTAATCAGAATCTCTGAGAAGTAGAGCCCAGGAATCAACATTTTAACAGGCTCCCAGGGGAATATAATATACACCAAAGTTGGAATACTACTGATGTATATTCAAATTGCCATTTTTTTCCCGAAAAAGGTTATACCAACTTCTACTCCCACCAGCATTTTCTAAATTCAATGGCCTGTTCCTCTTCCCACTCCCTATCCCCGCACATAAACAAACACACATATTCATAGGGTGGCACCCAAAGCATGTCAGCACACCATAGGAGGTACCCAGGATCTGTCCTCTTCAACCTCTGGTCTCTATCTCAGGGTCATAGCTCTTTGTAGTCAAATTGCCAGGAGAAATGAGGAACAAGTAACTCTTTGGGAAACTGCAGGGGACAGATGCTCAGGCTGGAAAAGCAACCTCTCTCCACTTCCTGGCCCATGTTCCACACCTGAGAAAACAAGTCAGTTCAAGAGAATTGGGCAGTGGTGGCAGCAGTAGGAGGTGTGGACGGTAAGGTAGCCAGTGCCCTATTCCCTCCTGGTTCAGCACAGCCACTGGCTACTCCCAGATGTAGATTCTCCACCTTCCACATGAAGTTGGCTCCAGGACAGATGGGACACTCCTGTCACTCACTGCCACAGCCCCATTTGCTCTGCGGCACGTGACAGGGACAAGAACATGGGCTTTTGAGTTAGACAGATCTGGATTTGAATTCTAAATCAGCCATTTACTAGCTGTGTGACTTGGACAATTGATTTAACTTCTCAGAACCTCAGTTTTCCTTTTCTGAAAAATGGGGCTGATAATCCCTACCGTAATGAGATAAGGCATATGAAGCACTTAGCACCACATCTGGCACAGATTGGGCCTTCAGTAGAGGCTGGCTGCCTTGCCCCCTTCCCTCCCATCTGGAGGCCCTCCTGTGGCTCACAGCCCGTAAAGATCCTGGGTTTTTACCTGTGTTGTAGTGCTTGGTACAATAGCCTAGATCCTTCTCATCTCGCAAGATAAACTGGGGCATAGTCAGCCCCTCAGCCACTTGGACAGCAGGAGCATCTTCCAGCCACTCAAACACAAGGTCATTCATGGTGTAGCCAACTGAAAGTAACAGAGATGGCAGAGGGCTGCAGAGTGTGGGTGTTGGGTGAGGGGTAGGGAGAAAGTTAGAACTGGCAGAAAAGAACAGATAAGGAGTAAGGCCTGGGTTTTAGGAGCTTCATGCTCATCTTGGAAAGGGAAACCTCTGAAGAGGGTACTTGGTCAATTGTCTCATGGGCCCATCCTACGTGGTTAAATCAGAAAGATTCCAGACTCCTCTCCCACCTAGTTCTCAAGCTTTAGAAAGGCCCAAAGAGAAATTATTCTGGCAAATCTAGAAAGCAGGTCAAAAGGGTTGGAAAGATGTCAAAAGGGTTGGAAAGATGTCAAGGAGCCCAGCTGGGAACCTCCTGCCATATCTCAAACCCGGGGGAGTAAACATGTGTACCGACCACATGTCTTGAGCTGAGCCAGCCTCAGTGCCAGGACTTCTGCCACCTCACCCCAGGGAGGAGAGAGCTATTTATACCCTGCCAGTCAGGCGTGGGGCAGGGCATACCACAGACTCCTAGCCAGGGCCCTGAACTGGGGCAAATTAAGAACTAACATCTAAACATGCCAAATTGCTCACAGATAGCTAGCAGTTAGTGAAGACTCCTGCCACATATATGACCATGTTCACATATGTCAGGTGGAAATGGGAGAAGAAACATCAAATCTCACAGATATCCAGTGTAGGGCCTTGACTCAGAGTAACTGTGTGGCATTGGGCAAGTCACTTCCCCTTCTGTAAAATGCTCCATGTACTTTTCAGAGTTGTTGGGAGTGGGTAATGAGAACCTGGGTATGAAAGTGGTTTATGAACTCTAAAGAGCTGACCACATAGGACACATTCTATCCATCACTGTTATTATGTGCTGGAAACAGCCGGACAAGCCTTCTTCTCTGAGGACCAAGTGGATGTCTCCTGATCTCACAATCTCACCTTGCCCAGGAGATGGCAAAGGAGTGGACATAGGTGATGGTCCACCCTTGTCATCCTTTGGCTTCTCTGCAATTGGGGCAGCCCCTATGGGCTGGCAAGCCCGCTATAGAGTAGCCCTTGGCTGACCTCGCTACCCTGGCCACTGTCCTATGCCTGGAACTGTCCTCTCCCACCTCTCTACAAAAGTTATCTGTGTTCATGAGGAATCAGGGTTTAAGAGTACCCCCTCCCTGCCAACTTTGGCATTTTTATAGGCGTCTTGAATGTCTTAACTCAGGGGGAGTAAAGATAGAATTACTTTATGCACTGTGAGAGGGCACATATCTTTGGGCAGAAGAGGTGCCCCTCAAATGACCCCCCACAACCAGCACAAGCACATTTTTATGTAAGGCTGGTGCCTCCCATTCCCCAGCCCTGTGGAACAGCCAGACCAGCAATTAGTGTGGGGATGGGAAAACACACAGTGTTGGATGTTAGTGAGCCCTGGCTTCTAGTCTTATCTGTGCCAACAACTGACTATGTGCTTGGGTAAGTCCCTCCCCACTCTGGGTTGCCCTTTTCCTATCTGGAATATCATGGGATGGGGTTAACTAGCTGGTATTCCAGGCCTTGCTCTGTGACTCTCTGGGGACACTTACAGCTCTCCAGCTGCATCGCGCAGGTCTGAATGTCCATGGGGAAGTTCTTGAGGTCCATCGGGCAGGACAAAATGAGGGTCAGCCTGGCAGGGACAGGAGGAAAGAAGTGACATCGGTTTACTGGGGCCCCGCACAGCACAGGGGACCCTCTTCCCACCCTTCAGCCTCTATCTAGCTTCTTCCCCTTGACCCAAACTCTCCTGGCTGTCCACCAGGTGCACCTGATGCTGTAGAGTACATTCCCATTCTTGAAGATGCGTAGTAACTTGTTGTCTGTGGTCACCTCATGGAAGTTGGCCCCTTTCTCATTGGCAAAGAACAGGTCTGGCTTCCAGATAGAGTCCAGCATGGAGGGATCAAGGTCCAGTGAATCGTCAGGATATTCTCGGTAGGCCAGGCGTGGGTCATTCCACTGCTGCCGCAAAAAGACATTCACCCGATAGTCCTGGGAGGGTGCAGAGATGGGCCCGTCAGTGCTATTCCAGGGGCCCAGCAAACCTACGTGGGCAGGAGGACCGTGAGGAGGAGATGTTGGGAGCACATCTCAGGGGCAGTGGGCATTTTCCACTGGAGAATGAGTCTGCCTTGGGCTGATATGGCAAAGATGGGAAGGGAAAAGACATTTATTAAGCACTTACTATGTGCCAGGCTCTCTGCTAAGCTCTTTCTTTATATGCATCATCTCATTTAAATCTCACACCAGCCCTGTGAGGAGAGTGCTCCTACAATCCCCACTTTGCAGATGAGGAAACTGAGACAAAGAGAGATTTAAGTAAACTGTCTGAGGTCACACAGCTATTAGATGGAAGAGTCAGGATTTGAACACAGGTTTGTCTGATTCCAAAGCCTGTGCTACCTCCCATGCTTGACCATCTGCTCCTTAGCCTAGTCTGCCTTTAGCCAATGAAACCCCAGGATGAGGAAAGACATCCTCTTAGTGACCAACTTCACACACCCCATGACTTTAGCCATGACCACAAAACATGTAAAGGACAGTAGAGGGGGGAAAGGCTTGCTATCTGGTGGGCTTCTCCCATTCACACTAGAATGGAAGCGGGAACAGGGAGACTACTTACCATGGTAGTCTCGGTGACAGAGCCGAAACTGTTGATGAAGATGTTGCAGGTCACGTTCACGGGTGGGCCTAAGGGTAGCAAAGCACAGCTATACTGGCAGTGCATTCCTGGAGGCTGGGAGCAGGTTCCAGGACTCCTTCCCTAAGCTTGAGGCCAGGGCACTGCTGGGAGAAGGCAGTGCCAACTACACAGGCTCATTCGCAATGAGGAGGGGAAGCTCCTTCTGAGCTGTAAGAGCTAGTCCTGTACCTCCAGCCTCCTGTCCTTGGAGCAGGCAATAGGGGCTGGCTCGGCAGTGTGTCCGCAGAAGGAGTGGGGAGGGAGGGACTTTTGTAAGGTGAATACTTGTTACCTTTAAAATTGGGCCGAATCCTGGCATCATATCCAGATGTTCGCCCCATAAGCTTGTCCAGGAAATCAGAGGGGGACATGAGCTGGGACCCCTTGGTCCCAGATTTAACTTCTTTTGCCAAGGCCACCCTGGACAGAAGAGATAAAGAAATCTGAAGCCAGCTGTATTCTGCATTTATCACAGACCCTCTCCTTCCCTGTCCCCACCCACCTCTGGTTGGTCTCCCCATCAGGCAGGAGGATAGGAGAAGATGGATCTCTGGGTGCCCATTGCAAAATGAGGAGAACAGAAACATCCATAAGCCAACACAGCAGCTCACTAGTTAGTCCTAGAAAATCGCTTTCACATATATTAGATCTTTTTACCCTCATAATTCTCAGTGTAATGGGGTGAGGTTTGTTATTTCCATTTTACAGATGAGAAAACTGAGGATTCCAAAGGAAGGGTGACTTGTGGGAATGTAAATTGGTACAACCACTATGGAGTTTCGTCAAAAAATTAAAAATAGAACGACTATATGATCCAGCAATCCCACTTCTGGGTATTTATCCAAAGGAATTGAAATCAGGATCTCGAAGAGATATCCGCACCCCATGTTCATAGCAGCATTATTCACAATAACCAAGACATGGAAACAGATGAATGGATAAAGAAGATGTGGTACACACACACACACACATACACTGGAATATTATTCAGCCACAGAAAAGAAGGAAATCCTGCCATTTGTGATAACATGGATGGACCTAGAGTGTATTATGGTAAGTAAAATAAGTTAGAGAAAGACAAATACTGTGTGATATTACTTATATGTGGAATCTAAAATAAATAAATAAATAAATAAATAAATAAACAAACAAACAAACCAATAGAGGAGTGACTTGCCCAAAGTCTCAAAGGCGAACCTCAGGATCAGGACTCAAACCCAAGGCTGAGGCCTCATCCAGTGTTCTTTTTCTGAAGGTGCTTTGAGCACTCAAAGAGGAGTGACGACTCACTGGAAATAATGTGGCTGCTGCAACGTTTTGCCCATGGGGCCTAGCCAAGGATGGGAGGGCCCAAGGACAACTTGCATCCCTGAGAGTTGGTTTCCCTTGCTTGGCCTTCATGCTGAGCCATTCAGGAACAAGGGCCCAGCCTCTGGAGAGGGAGGCTTGACTTCTGGGGTTTGCCCCAGAAGGAAGCTGTGTTTTGAGCTGCACCTCAGTTCAGAGTTGTGGCAGCTTCAGGCAGGTAAAGCCGCTTTGGCAACAAAATAGGTGAGGAAGCAGGGCTGTAGGAGCATGGGAAAGCCTCCCAGTAGAGTGGCCATGCTGAGAAGGTCAACTCCTGTCTTTTCCCCTCTTAATAGCTTGATTTTGAGGAAGAGGCCTAGAGGCCAGCCCCTTCTCCCTGACAAGTTTCCCTCCACAAGCAGCAAAGGCCCTTCCACGTGCCTGCCTATCTGTTTACCAGCCCACAGCTAGATTAGGGACCAGGAGCTCACCAAAGCCTTGAGGGCAGAGGTGGGGTGCAGGGGTGGAGCCAAGGCTGAGCTCAGGCTGGACTTCTGGCTGGAGCCTGTGCCTCCTGCTCCATGCTGCCATCATCACTGTGCCAGGTGCTAGAGCTAGGTTCTCCACTGTCACTACTGCTGCTGCCCTGTGGGGCTGGGAGGGAGGGTGACTGCTGTCCTTCTGGGTCTGACTCTCTATGAGCCAATGGGCCCCTCTTTCTCAGTAAATCTATGCAGCAGCCAGTGACTGATAAAATAATAAAAATAGCTAAGGCCCCATGCTAAATGCTTTATTCATCTTATCTAGTTTATTTCTCACATCAATCCTCTCAAAAAGTACTATTATTATCCCCATTATATAGATGAGGAGACTGAGGACGAGCAGGGTGAAATGACTTGTTCACAATCATACAGCTAGTAAATGGTAAAGCCAAGATTCTAACCCAGAGCTACTGACTTCAGAACTAAGTCCATCTATCACTACACTATTATGTAAGCGGCCCAGGGTGGGGTCCTAAGGAACCAGAGTGGGAGAAGGTCAGGGGCAGCTGCACCCTGACCTCCTAGAGTCCTGCCTCCTTGAACCCCTGAGCAGGAGGAAGCCCTTACCCTGGGAACAGAGGCCACCTTGGCCCCAAGCAGGGGCTGCCAGAGCAGGCGGCCTAAGCAGGCTCTGCAATTCCGAGGAAGCTGATGGTGGTACTGGAGCAAGCAGAAGTTCGTGGCTTCACCACAGGGTGTCCACACTGGCCAGGTGCTGCTGCTGGCCGCCTGCCACCTGCCTGCTGGGAGGTCACATGGCCCTGCACATAGAGCAGCCCCTTGTCATTGTCCACAGCCCCACTCTCAGCTCACCTCTCGTGCTAGCCCCAGCCCCAGGACCCTGGGACAGGTTGTGTGCTCAGCTGTCTTGGGCTGCAATCCCTCTTGCAGCCTCTCTTTTCCAAGGCTACCTTGTCTGCAGACCTTAGGACAGAGTCACCCTGTGTAGCCACTCCTTCCTCCCTTTCATTCCTGGAAAGTCCCAAAGACTGGCCCAACCTGGGAAGTTCCAGAGCTGAAAATTTAGCTCATGCAAGGCCCTGGGGTGGGGTGGGGAGAGAACTCTGATTCTGCTACTGGGTACCTGAGTGACCTTGGACAGGTCGCCCCCTTCAGTTTCCACATGTACCATGAAGGACTTAGACTCAAGACTTCCTAAGGGCCTGTCTTGCTCTAATCACCCAAGTGGGAATGTTGTCACCAAAGCTTGGGCCTTGAGGCAGCCTCCTCTCCAGGAAGGCCAGCAAGGTGCCCCCTTCTGCCTGAATCTTCCTATCAACTCCAGCTGAGCTCCGTCCCACTCTGGGCTGCTTTTCACTCGTAAGAAGTTTACCACCCCACACTGCGTCCCTGCCTGCCTGCCAGCCAATGTGTCTGCAAGCAGTGAGGCAGGAAACTCCTCAGAGGCAAGCGGTCCTGGTGTGCTCCTTGACCTAAGAAGAGGAGGAGGTTATTGCGGTGACACTCCCCACCGCCTTTGGAGGCACTCCTCTCAGCAGTTCAGCCCAAACCACAGCCATCTTTCCTCCTCAGCTCACCCTGTCCACCTAGACTGGCTCCTGGTCTAAGGAGAAAGTGGGAATGGGTGGGGGGACATTTACAGTGAGCCCAAAGCATGTCTTTTCCCAAAGCACAGGAAATGACTGCCACTTAGTGCCCCTCCAGGGAAGACGAGCAGCCACGTGGGCACAGGCAGGGTGACTGCAGAGGGCCAAGGTTTGGTCAGCCCAGCTTCATTCTGATGTGGTTTTGGGCCAACCTTTGCTACTTGAAGCCTCTTGGGTGGGCAGCTGGCAGATGTTGGTGTCATTTTTAGGGATCTGAGCAGTGTGTGGCCAAACTGGTAGGGAGATAGGGTTGGATGGCAGGATAGATGGCCTCCATTCTGGGCTCAGCTACCTAGCCCCTACCCAGGCCCAGGAAGCTCCTACCCATGCAGAAGCCTTCCGATCAGCTCTGGGGCCTTGACATCCCTCATGAAAGTCTCCTGGGTCCTGATTGGGGAAGAGCATCTTCTCCCTTGGAGCCCCCCAGACTGTTGGCTTTTTGCAAACTTAGAGGAAACTGTGCCAGAAACCCCTGCCACCCCCGGGCAGTGTTTGCATGCACCTCCTTCTCACCCCCACTCAGCTCACCTGAGGAGGACCTGCCCTGGCAGGGTCCAGAGGAGAAGAAAGGAGAGGGTTGCAGGGACGAGAGTTGTCATTCTGCGGGGACCCTGGAGCCCTTTCTCAGCCTGGCTGCCAAGGTGAGAGGTGATATCCTGGCGAGGAAGTCGAAAGTACAGAGCCTTCCTCCAACTTGGGCTGCTCACAAGGACCCCGCAGGGACAGGGCTAGGAGTTGCGCTCTCTCTCCTCTTCTGGTCTCTTCTCCTCTGCCCTGCCGTTACCAGTCAGGGGCCAGAACTATTCCCCTGGAAATGATCCTGACACTGATAACCCTACCAGCTCCTACTCTGGCTCGCCTGGGGCTCCGGAGGGCCTCAGCCTGCCTGCTGGGGAGCGGAAGGCGATTCTCTTTGGGCAGCAATCACTCTCCAACCCTGAAGAGTCTTGAAGGGGAGGGAGGAGGGAAACTGGTAGGAGATGTTTCCCTCCCTCCCACCTCCCCCCAGATGCACCCTCCAAAAGCAGCAATTTAAAGGCACAGTCGCCGGCAGCTGGAGTGGGGTTCCGAGAACGAACGAGAGCGTGTCTGTGTGCTGGGGAGGAGCTTGGGCTGCTGCTGCCCCTTGAAGAGGGCCAGAGGTGTTCTGTCTAGCTTCTAACTCTCCAGCTGGAGGAGTGCATGCAGGCTGCCCTGCTCCCCCTCCCCAGCGGCTTCCCTTTTAGCCTGGAGCCAAGCTGGGGCTGAACTGTGAAGTCCTAATGATATTTATAAGGGGGAAAAAGACCTGAGAGAGTTTAGGCAGAACCACTGGGTATTCTCAGGCTGACAGCTTCAGCTCAGAGGACGCCAAGGGCAGGGGCAGCTTTTTCTCAGCCCTCTGGATGGAGGCACAGGGGATGGATGATACAGAGGAACTTCAGAGTCCTCCTCATATGTGGTCTGCCTGCCTGTCAGTCTGTCTGCCTGCCCCCATCTCCTTCGTCCTCATAGATGTGCATCCTTTTCTTTGGCTGCTTCCCTCCCTCAGGTCATCTGTGGTGAGGTTGGCTGGCCATCTGCAGCTCTTGGAAACCCCTTCCCCCACACACACACCCTCTCCCCAGCCCAGCTAGGCTGTGGGAAGGGATAGGTGTCCCTGGCAGGGGAGAGCAGGCCTGGAACACAGCAGGTTTTGCAAGCTTCAGAGGAGTCAAAGGGACCAAGAACAGTGACCTGGCAGCCAACAGCCCTGCATGGAGGCGAGAGACAGGGAAGGTGGGCTGGTCTCCTTTATGGCCTCTGCCCATTTCCTTCAGCATCCAGGTGCTTCAGCTCCATGTCCTATGCTGGACCCTTCCCCAAACTTGCCCAGGCAACATCCCTCCTTCCCTCCCTCTTTTCCTCCCTCTCTCCGTGAAGCTTTCCTTCATCTATTCTCTCTCCATCTCCCTCTTTGTTTCTTCTCTGTGTCTCACCTTCTGTGTCTGTCTTCCCTTCTTTTTTGGCCCTCACTTTCTCTCCATCCCCATTTTTTTCTCTCAACCTGGTCATCTCCATTCTCTCACTCTCTCCTCCTAAGTTACACAGTGAGAAGCCAAGGGTTTTCATTTCTTCTTCAGTGGAAACTCTCACACCAGCTCTGCTGAGTTCAGAGTGTGTACTGGGGGAGGGGTCGGTGACTCCAGAGCTGACTGCAGCCCCCTAACCTCGCCAGAGAGGGTTTGTGGGGATTGAAAGCTCTTCTGTGAGACCCACTGGGTACTTAGAGGGATTAATGACAAAGCAATGAGGAGTAGAACTTGTCCTGCTTCTCCCTTGTGGCTGTGTTATTATTAAAGAAGAGGAATTTTCAAACCACAAATGAAAGGGAAAGAAGATAATTTTAAAGAATACACACTGAAATGTTGATGGGGGAGCTGGGCTTTTGGAATTGAGACTGGGAACATTATAAGCCTCAAATAACGTGTTTGTGGCCAGTAAGGACAAAATTCAAAGAACAAATTATCCCCAAAACATCGTTAGCACCCTGGAGAGTCTTGGACGGGAGGAAGGAGGGAGACTGGTGGAGATGTTTCCCTCCCTCCCACCTCCCCCCAGGTTCACCCTCTGAAAGCAGCAATTTAAAGGAGCTGCATGGTCTGGTCTCTCTGCTCATCCCACTGTTGCATCTTGAGTCACCTGTCTCTTCAGCTTCCAGGTGGTTTCACATGATCCTCTACCAAAACACTCTTCCCTCCACTCTTGCTCATCCTTCTGGGCTGAGTTTTGTTGTCACTATCTCAAGGAAGACTTCGTGAACTGCCCCCACCTGCCTCAGTTCTGGGTTAGGAGACCCTCCAATGTGTTCCCACAGGACCCTCTCCTTCCCCCTTCACAGCACCTGGAGCCCATTACAGCTGCCCCCTCACCTGCCTCCCCTACCTCCATACCAAGAGCTCCCCGAGGACAGAGACACATGATCCACCAAATCCCCGGGCCCAGACCAGACACATTATGGCACATTATAGGCAATTAGTGAACATTTGTTAAGAGATGCAAACTGGGTATCCCCTAGCCCAGGTGCTTTTGCATCTCTCTCTGTTAAACAAGAATGATAAGTTTGACGTGCCAAGAGAGGGCCGGCATGAGGTAATGGTAACAAGGAGAACAAGGAGAAATGAGGAAGCAGTTTTTATTCCCTTGCCCCTTAGGCCTGTGGCCTCACATTCCTTCATCTGGAATTCTGGGCTAACGGAAGGCATAGGCCCCTGGGGACTGGTCCATTGTCTTGGATCTCACCTCTTGTGTGCCCCATGGGATCCCTGAGTGCGGAGAGCATAGCAGGGTCAGCTTCCTGGGAGGAAAGATCCCTTCTTATGAGAGGCTGCAGCAATGACCAAATGTCTGCTGGCATGATAAAGGGGTACGGCTTTCTTAGGGTGCTGGAAGCAGACTCTGGGAGAAGAAGAGAGGAAAGGGAGGCAAAGAACTGGGAAAGCTGCTCCTAAGATGTGACAAGCAGCGGGAGAGATGTCCATTCAAGACTTTCCTGTACCAACAGGAAGCCACACTCTCTGAAGATGATCTAAGCATTTTCCGGTCTGGAAAGGGTACAAAGTTGTCGCCAGCCTTGCCCTCTAAACTTTTTTTGTGTGTGTCGGAGGAAGATTAGCCCTGAGCTAACATCTGATACCAATCCTCCTCTTTTTTGCTGAGGAGGACTGGCCCTGGGCTAACATCCGTGCCCATCTTCCTCTACTTTATATGGGACACTGCCACAGCATGGCTTGACAAGCGGTGCATCAGTGCGCGCCCGGGATCTGAACCTGCGGACCCCAGGCTGCCGCAGGGAAGCACGCGCACTTAACTGCTGCGCCACTGGGCGGCCCCGCCCCCTAAAATTTTTATCCTCTTTTTATCAAACTACGGTGTATATGAATCTCCACATTCCAAAATGTATTGCACTCTTTTCTTGTTTTGCAATTGGCTGCCCCATCGGTCTGAGAACTGGCTGTATTGCAGCACTGAGGTTGTGTAGAAGCTACAATAGGCAAAGTGTTTTTCAGGATGAAATATGTTATTTCATCCTGAAAAAAACTACTGAGCTGCTAAAAATGGATTAAGCACATTTTCATAAGTGTTTCATTCCAGGAAAGAGTCTGTCACATTTCAGCCCTATGCAAGGAAAATTGCAATTGCACCCTCCTGGCAAACAGGCTTCCTGAAACCTCAATCTGAGGAGCTACATGTCTGTGTTGGGATGGTTATTATTTGTGACTTCTAGGGGTGGATTTTGGGGACAAAGTTGGAGAATCATTTGGCATATCTTCCTGGACCCAACTCCCCCATGTGGCCTATCCCACTTATTAGAGTAGAAAGTGGTCTGAGGGGTACCTTGGAAGGCAGGCTGTATCCTCAATCTGAGGAAACTTCCAGATCATTAGCTACTTTTCAGAAACAATGGGCTAGGAAGTTGGGAGAGGGTGAAATAAAAGACAGACACCTTTTAAAAAATCTGCTGACAAGGACTGGGCCATTTCAGTTGGATCTCCAAGGAGCAAGGCTGCGTCTTTTTGCTGTGTGTGAGTTTTTCTATACAGGGTCATTTTCAAACTCCAAGGATGTGAAAATTTACTTGAAAGTGGGGGTTTCTGAGGTGCTGAGGTGCTGAGGGAACGCTGCCAGCAGAGGCAGAAAGCCCTTTCACCCTTCAGACTCAAGGAGACACGCATAGTGGCGTGCGTGGTAGTGGCCCTGGGAGTCTCAGCTGGAGGAAGGAAGAACAAAATGGCAAATGCATTAGACATGTTCAGTGCTCTCCTAAATCTTTTGGAGAGTGACTGGTTTAAGTCTGATGTTTCAAAGATTAGTCTTCCTTCTTTTTACAGAATCTTTCAGGCATGGGTTTTGCAGACAAAGCCTGGGGTGTCTGAACTTGGGGGGAGCCCATGGAGAGGTTTACTGAGCTCCTCCCAGTCCTAAAAGACAAACCAGATATCAGCAGCAGGATAGCACCAGTGAGCAATGGTCCTGCCTCTGTTACTGGGCTCTCTGTTCAGTATCCAGGGGACAACAGAGAGGTGGGGCTCCAGCCACTGAAGGTGAATTGATTAGCATCCAGGCATGCACCATTTCTCCCCTGCTGGACCCTCAGAATCATTACTCATCCCATTAGCTACTTGAGAGCAATTCACTAGGTGTGCAGGAGAATTTCATTAAGGCTTCCACAGAGTTTGCATGGACTATCCTTGTCTCTTGGCTCGTCTAACTCTGAAACATTCTTTTTCAGGAATGGTAGGACCATGTCACGCCTCTCCTCAAAAGTAAATTGGTTTTTGCTTGTGATCATGCTCATGAATATCTTGTTTCACTCATTTCGGGATTGTGATCATCCATGCCGTGTAGGGTGTGAAGACCTTACATAACATAAAAGCAACAGAACTTGGAAAGATGCATAAATATTTTCTGTGTGGAATGGATCACATTCCCACTAATCCATGCACGCACTCAACAAATATTTATTGAGGGCAAATCATACGCCAGATATTCTAGGTGCTGGAGATACAACAGTGAACAAAGCAGACGAAGTCCATGCCTTCATGTAGCTTACATTCTAGTGGGGTAGTAATGTAATTCCTGCCCAAAGAAGGTTCTGCATGGGTCGTCAGCAGTTCCCCAGGGCCTGAGTACCTCTCACAGCATTTGAGTTGGGCATTTATCACATGGCCTAGAAAAAACAGAGACTAATTTTCAGCAGGCAAGAATGAGCTTCATTTCCATCTATCCCAGAATCTGTCTGCTAGTCACATCACACAGGTCATCAACTGCTAGACACCCTCCCAAGAAGGTAATCCCCGAGTAATTCAACCCTATCCAGAATACACATGTCCGAGTCCCATGAGTATCTCTGGTGGCGTGGACATATTTGTCTGTGACTGCTAATGAGCACTTCCCTCACTCGGAGAGTTAGGGGCATTAACAGCACTCTTGGCACTCTTTCTGTGGTGCTTCTTTCAGTGGTCTCCAATTATTTAGGATTTTCTCTTTCCGTCCCTCCATTCCTTCCTCTCTTCTGTCTTT